GTTCCATCTGAACCTGATGGGTTATCAGGTGAGTCCGCCCTGGTAAGGTAGAGAACATGGAAGAGGAGAAGGCAGTGATCAGTTATGATGCCTGGTCTCTCTGCTCGGGGTAAGGTTGTTGTCCCCAATCTTGACCACACCTGGCATTGAGACCTCTGCAGCCCAAGGGCCTAGTTCAGGCCCTGGTGGGTAGGGAGCTATTAATAAGCTTTCTTGGGCTTTGCACCGTTTTAAAAGTTCACATGGTAGATTTGTTGTAGCTTACGCTTGTCAGTTTGCCTGATTTCTTATTTCACCTGTCCCACGCATCGGATGACCTCATAGGTCTCCCTGCCAGCAGGCTAGGAGCTTCGACTCCGAGCTGGGTAATAACAGTATCTGATCACCAGGCTGAAACTCTCGGAAGCGTGCTAGTTTATTGTAGGCAGTTTCTTGGGCATATAAGGGCAGGTCTATACTACAGCCGGGATTGACGCTCTGGGATTGATCCACCGGCGGTCGATTTAGCAGGTCTAATAAAGACCCACCAAATCGACTGCAAATGGGTCTGAAGTCGACCCCTGTGCTCTACCCCTCAACCTAAGGTACGTCAACTCCAGCTATGTTGTTCACGTAGCTGGAGTTGTGTAGCGTAGGTTGATTTACCCGGTAGTGTAGACATAGCCTAAGAGGCTCTCCCTGGCAAATGAACCTAAAGCCTCAAATTTCTCCCACAGGCTTAAGATGTACTGAACTATGTTGTTAGCTCAAGATGGCTGCTCTTCCCACATTTCCCGAACTAGATCTAAAATCCCTTAGGGCTGCTTCCCATAGAAAAGCTTGAATAGCAAGAAGCCAGTGGAAGACGGGGGAACTTCTCGGACTGCGAATAGAAGAGGAGGGAGTAGCTGGTCCCAGTGTCAGACATTCATCAGGACGAACCTTTGGAGCATTGTTTTTAAGGTTCTGTTACAGCGCTCCACCAGGCCATCTGTTTGGGGGTGGTATATGGATGTTTGTAGAGTCTTGAAACAACTCTGCCATTTACTAAAAATCATCATCTGAGACATACAATGGGGCTCTTGGTTACAGCTGGTCCCTGAGGGGATGTCATCATGGGGGGACATGGCAGCTAGGTAATTCTCAGTCAGCTGGATAGCTAGCATCTGTCATGGTCTCCAGATGATACCTCAACATCTGCTCTCTTCCCCCAAGGGGAAGGATCTGGACAAACTGCTCTAACAGGACCAGTTCAGCAACCTGCGCTCCTGACTTTGCCTCTCGCTTGAGCCATCTTCTGCATGAGTACCGCAGCTTCTTGGCGACCAGGCGGGGTTGGGTTCTCGGTGGGTACCGCTCCCCCTGGAAGCATTGACGGAATGTCTCCTCCAACATGTCTAGGGCATCGAATATCGCTGCCTTAACCTGGGCATGTTCCTTGGCGGCTGCAGGGTTTGAAGCACGATATGTGGTCTGTGCTACCCTGATTAAGTATGGGGCCAGCACTGCAGTCAATTGGCCTCAGGGCTACAGTGGCTACCTTCTCAAAAGTTTCTAAGAAAACTTAGGATCATCATCAGGCCCCAACTTGGTAAGCCTGATGGGGCAGGTTAGTTGATTCTGTTGGAGCACTCGATCGCAGTATGGAGGGCACCTGCTGGACGACCAGCTGCTGCTGCTGTTGCTGGACTTAGGGTGACCAGATATCTTGATTTTATAGGGACAGTCCCGATTTTTGGGTCTTTCTTATATAGGCTCCTATTACCCCCCACGCCCTGTCCCGATTTTTCATACTTGCTGTCTGGTCACCCTAGCTGGACTGCCAATTCGTGGATTTGCTGCTGTGTGGCCATCTACTGCAGGAGTTGCTGCTGTTGATGGTGTGTGTTTTGCTCGGCCATCCATTTCAGCATCTGTTCTATCTCCATTCAAGAGCTTTCTTTTTGTTTTGGGTTTTGTTTTGGTTTTTTTTTTTAAATTTCCTTCGGCAGGGACTAGGGCATTGCCTGCATTTTCTACCACTTGTGATAGAGCCTTCGGTGGCCTAGTGGCTAGATTGTTGGGCAGAGGGGTTGGAGGGGGGACTCAGACCCTCCCCAGGGCCCTGTGTAGTTCGACCCCTAAACAGGGGTTGATGGATTTGCCTCTCTGCGGGGGGAGGGGGAGCTTTCAAGACCTGTTGCCCTGAGCTACTTCCTATTAGTCTCTTTAATCTGGGGCAGGGCCCTGCTAGTTCAATTACCCCACAGTTGGGGCTGAGCTGTAGGCTGCCCTTGGCTGGGGAAGGCTTATTTGTCTCCAGTACCTACGAAAACTGCTGCTGTCTCCTTGCCAGTCAGCCCCCAACTGAGCTTGGCTCACTTCTTTTCTCCCCCTTATTGGCCTGGCATTGGGTGCAGGTATAGCAGAGTGGGGCTAGCTGAGCCTTTTCTTTAACCCCTGCTTTGCTCCTTCACAGTAATGTTTTACATCTTCAAAACTCTTTTACAATTTGGAATAATGCTTAAATTATGGCATAATACAATTTACTTTTTTTTGCAAGTTTTCTCTTCTCCACCCGCCAAAGCCACATCATGTACCTGGAAATGGTTGGAGTGCAAGGGGAGGGGAAAACACGGAGGGGGAAATGTACAATTTACATCTGTACTTATTCCTGTTTTTTTTAAGAAGGGCTCCGTTCCAACTGGAGATAGTGTGTGCATGCCTTGGGAAAATCTGATACAGCTTTTTTTAATTGCTAAAACCATATTGAAAATATCCTGTTCCTCCAGCTATTTTAAAAAATGCTATAAATCGCATGGCTTCCTGTGACGTCATGTATGTCATTGTAGGGGTGGGAAAGGTAGATGGTGTACTTTGTTTTTCAGAAATTAGCTTAGAAAAGTTTGACCTTCATCCGCAGGAAATAGATATATAGGGAAGCCGTGTTTTAATGCCCAGAAAAGTAAGGAAGAATTATTTTTCCCTTTCCCATCTTTATATCTTTAAACATAAGCTCTCATTGTTACCCTTTTCACTTCTTATTTATTAGGCCAACACATGTTTGCTATGGCAAGTAAAGTTCAAATAGTGTATTGAGTAAGACGTGCTCAGAAACCCAAAAGTTTTTCAGAGCAAACTTTAATGAAAAGAGGAATCCTAATATTCAGAGGAATTGGAATTTGATGTGTGCTGTGTTGCAACTGGTAAAATTTGAAATATTGAGGTGAATGTTGGGGTAAATCTAAATGACTTTCTCCAGTTATTAATTAAAATAGTTCCTTAGAAGCAAGGAATATGCACGATAGAATGAACATGTTTCTCCTACTCATTTGCCTGGTGATGTATTAGGCCAAAGAGCAAGAACTTCCATCATGTGGAAGATGAAGAAACCTCCTCTCATAACGTACATTCATCCTGTAGTGTGACATTCCACTCATAAAATGAACACAGTTAACTATGAAGCAGTCCATTTAAAGAATGACACCCTGTTTTAAGGATTGTAAATGTAATGAAAACTGTGCTGAAGCCGCTGTCAGTGAAATTGGATGTGTATGTAAAATTGGTACTGATTTGACTTGCAGCTTGACCTTAAAGTCCAAGGGTCTGATCCTGCAACCCTTTCTCTAAGTATAAATTCCCCATGTTGTCAGGACTGTTTGAGTGAGTGAAGATTTGCAGGTTTGGGCTAGCTTCTCTAAATAAAACCTCCCCATAATATATCAAAGTCAAGAAACACTGCATACACTCTTGTAGCCTCTCCTGCAGTTGAGGTAAACAGCTGAGTTGCTTTCATCAGAGAGTGAGTTTTAAACAGAGGAATGAGAAGGGCTTTGTTCAAAGTGCCACATGCATAATTTGCATCTGGGTCTTAGACCTTTCCTCACATGGCCAGACCGAGTTGAGAGGCAGCATAAGCCTCTGGGGTAAGAGACTGTATTTCTTCTATTCCCTCCCACCCTTCTCCTTCCTTCTCTGCAGGCTCCAAAAGGGATTTTTTCCCCCAAGTTTTCCTTAGCCTGGGAGTGAAGTGGGGTGGAACAAAAGGAATCATGTTCCATGTGTCTCCCACTGTTGTGTGCGCCTTCCCCCCACGGTTCTCTTCCTCCCACCCCTTCCCAAAATAAAAATCTACAGCTGTGCTTTTAAAAGAGCTGGATAAACTTCTGAGTGGTTCTGCCACTGCTATAAGGAGTTTGGAGGCAGAAATGCTGGGCTGAAAGAGCTGACTAAGATTATTATGTTTTAACACATCTGGTGTCCTGTTCATTTCCTCTGTTAAAATGAATTAAAAGGAAATCTGTTTCCCTGGAGTGTATGGATCTTGAGAGTGTGATCTAGCAAGTTCTGACCTGTATCTCGCTTGTCCCATAGTAACATAGGGTGGGACTTTCGTTTGCCAGATTGCTCTGTTTTAATTGCATTACATAACCCTCTCTAAATTAGACATTTGTTGGTAAATTGGCATAGAGGGTTAAATAGTAACATTTTTTTTAATTAACGTTGCGTAGGCTAAAAATAAAATTACAGCTGTTGGAACCAGGATTAGTTCAAGGCCCATGTAGTATTAGCATTGTGTTTAAAAAAAAAAAAAATACTGTCCTTATTAGCAGGGTTTTGGGTTACAGACCATTAAACGATTAGCATGGGAACCAAGTGCACTAACATGAACTACATGTCAGCATTAAATTGTGAAATACATTGCATCTCTGATCATTTATTTTTTAAAAAAAGAAAAGGTTGTTATAGCTTTTCCCTTTATTCTTCTACACTGGCCTTCCATAAAAACAAGCTTCTGGCTGGGGATCCAGACAGCTAGTGTGATCATTGTGAATTTAAATTATGCAGTAAGAGGATACGAGGAAAGGGTTCTTGCCTAGACATATGTTCCTAGAATGTGACTACCTCATTTCTGAGACACATCTATATGGCATAAGGGACTCTGAAGAACTCTTTTTACTTCTTCTAAGTACAAATGTCTCTGCATAATATAACCCTTAGGGATCAGATCTTCAATGTTGTTTTTCTTTTTGCCCTTCTAGTTCTTCCTCCAGTGCTGGTTCCAAGACACAGTGAATACAACCCTCAGCACAGTCTCTTGGCTCAATTCCGCAACTTGGGACAAAATGAGCCTCACATGCCACACAATGCCACTTTCCCGGACTCTTTCCAGCAACCCAACAGTCATCCATTCCCCCATTCCCCCAATAGTAGTTATCCCAACTCCCCTGGAAGCAGCAATAGCACCTATCCACACTCTCCTGCTAGCTCGGATCCAGGAAGTCCTTTCCAGATGCCAGGTAAGTTCACCTTCTGTAAGAATTAAGGAGAGTATAGCTAGATATTGCAAGTATCGTTAAGCAAAAGCGTCATCAGCCAGCACTTAAGTGTATTCAGTAGCTAGTTGAAGAGATGCTATGTAACGTGGCGACTAAATCAGGCTGCCTAGCAATAATGTTCAATTTTTAGTATTCTTTCTAATGCAGGTAAAATACTTTGTTTTTGCTTTACAAATCAGCTGTATTTGGAGGGGTGGGGGTGGGAGGGAATAGTGTATTATTGCAGCATTGAGTCCTGATATAGTTTGGGGGAGGAGGGGTGTTATGCACATCTAATGTTCTGACAACTATTGCTACAGAATGTCCTTGTTCAGGAAAGAGACTTACTCTTAAGTTCAGCATTTAGGTTATGGTTCTATAAAAGATGTTTCCCAAGGGGATTACACTACCACCACTTGATTAAATTCATTCAAATGGTGATGTAATCCCAAGAAACAAATGCTTCAGCTGCAAAACAATCTCTTAGCAGAGGCCCTGGAAAGAAACCTTCAGCATGTCTGTCTTAAAGACAGTGGAACAGTTGCCTTTTATTTCTGTTTTGATTGTTGGCTATAGACTTTTACAGAAATGTCTATCTTTTTGCCTGGTTTGTCCATGACTAAGTATCATGAAGAAAGCAGCCTCTGAAAGATGTTTTTGATTTACCTTTCTGCTGCTGGGAGAAGGAGCCTGGGCAAATAGTGTGCTGCCTTCCTTCCTTTGGGGCTGGAGGAGGGAAGGGGAGAGAGATTTGCAAATATAGACATGTAATTTCTTGTGTAAAGGGGGTGTTCATTGAAGTTAACTACTGATAGCTGTCTTCAAGAATTTCCCTTGATGGGTAAAGACTACAGAACTGTGTGTGCTGCATGCATGTGTTTTGTAATTTCTTCTGAAAAATCAGTACATTTTATGGTTACCCCCCCCCCCCCCCCACCACACACACACACACATTTTATTGAAAGACTGCTGATTATGATTTAGGCTCTGGGACTCCCTGTCCCAGTGGATACAGATCAGGTCACAGAGGTCCCATGCTTGGTCTGTAATGGGAAAGGTCTCCTACAGTATCCCCATGCCAGATGTTTTGTGATAGGTCATTGGATTTGGTTTCTGAGGAGTCCCGTCTTTGCCAGCATTCCTGGCTAGAGGTAAAGCAGAGTCAGCAGCTGCATTGAAGAAACTGAATGAGAGAGCATTGTGGTGGAAAAGATGAAAAGGCATCCATCTTGAGGCTCTCTTAGCCCTGACTCAGTATTCTGAGTCATTGCCTTGAGATAGGTCTCTTGGCAGACACCCATTTTGAGTTAGTAGAGCAGGAGGAGACCCAGTTGTGAAAATATGAAAGGGGAGCAGGACTATATCTAGAAATGTGAAAATTTTATATATGCTGGCTAAAATGATGGCCTTCCCACAGTACTATATAGACATACAAACAGTAGCATAACAGTTGCAATTACACAAATGTCTCAAAGTTCATTCGAGGCCTAATAAAGACTCAAAATTTTGATCCTCACCCCACAAACTTAGAATTCTATTCCATGGTGCATTCCTGCCTACTCTCCATAAAGGGGACTGTTTGTAAGGTCAAGTGGAAAAGGATAGTGAAAATTGGAAAAACATAGCTGTAGTATTACTGTAATGCTTAGTTGAGAGCTTTGTGTTACTAACTTTAACTAGCTTGAGATTTTGAAGGCCAGAAAGTTGCATGAAAGAAATGGTGTAGTTATTGGCCTGTTTGCCTTTTGGTTACTTGTCATAATAGTTAATGACTCACTGATTGATGGAGATAACAGTGCTGCATAGGCTGCCTACTTGCTCTCTGGTGCAGAATGGTAGTAATCAAATCTCATGCACCAGGGCAAAAAGTCTGTGGGGGTCAGGAAGGAGTTTTTAAGGCACTCCTAAGAGCCTAAATCCCTTTTGACAATGAGACTTAGGCTGTTAAAATCATTTTAGGTACTGCAACAGTGAGCACAGCAATGCCTAAATACCTTTTCAAAATCTGGGCCTAAATCTCTGTCCTTCAGTTCCCTATTTATAAACTGGTGGTGATATTTCACTAGGATGTTGAGGAGAAATTCATTAACACACGCGGTATGTTCAGATTCTATCCTGATGGAGGGCCACATTGGAAACAACATTAATGAGATTAGAACCTCTTGACTCCAAATCCTGTGCCTCTGTTCTGTTCATGTTCTGTATGACTGTAGGGCTGAGAGTGCTGAGCATGGAGACATTTAATGTATATACAGTGCTTTGAACTTGTGAAGCACTGTTGACAGAAATGCAGCCAAGCTTTCACTTGTGGGTTGATAGTTATAGCTACAATAAAAATTACTTATATTCTTTCATACACAGTAATCCTCTGCTTCCCTGAATCAAGGTCCATGATCGCTTTCTGAGATATTCTGATGAGTGGGTGGAAGTTATGGCTGAGTCAGGCTGAAAGTATTTCCAAGTTAACGCTGAACTGTTTATGTGGGTGTATATATATGTACATTTTAAAGAGAGGGAAGGAATTGTATCTCTGCCTTTTCTATATTTAGCTGATACTCCCCCTCCTGCTTACCTGCCTCCGGAAGATCAGATGACACAGGATGGCTCACAGCCAATGGACACCAACATGATGGCACCCTCAATTCCCCCAGAAATAAACAGAGGAGGTAAAATGCTTCTATATGCGGTTTTTTTCTGCTTGGTTTCTAAAGTGCAGAGTCTCATAATTTTTTAAGCTGAATATTGATCTAGATTCATATTATTTAATGGAAATATGTAACTATAGACAATAAGAAAAACTAAAGGGAATATGGATTCCTTTCCCTCCTCTCCCAGCTGGAGTGAAATTATGAGCCTCTAGGTCTAAAAAAGTCTAAGTGACCATACATGACTAAATTAAGGCATCACCATGTTTTACGTTTTAAATGTTGACTTCCAACCAGAAGAATCCAAAAGCATTATTACAAACTCTCATTTGTAACAGTCACTGAAGTTAAACAGTCCTTATGGTAAAGTATAGTAATTGTGTGTAATGGCACACAGCACACCTGTTAACAGGCAGTGAAAGGTATCTATTATGATTATAGTGACTTAATGAGACAGTGCCTGATGTTGTACGGTTGATATCCAGTTGGTGGGTGGGTGAATTTAGAGCAGGGAATATAGTTGCCTAAATTGAGATTTGGTCAGGACACTGGCACTAACATCTTTACACTTGTGAAAAGTCCTATGAATGTTTTAATACAAAGGGTCAGGATCTCCGTATGCTTCGTCTTCTGAAACACAGTACGTCCAACCAAAGTGCCTCTTAAACACCATTATATTGCACTGGCTTAGCTCTGATTTCTAGAGAAGAGCATGACACTGAATTGCCAACACTGCTTCTTGCAGCACTCTGGGTTTTTTTCTGGGAGTTTTGGGGGGAGGAATGTTTCCTTTCCCATGTAAGTAGTGACCTGGTATGACCCTGCTTAGCTTGTGAGATTGTAGTATAAGGTGGTATTGCTGCAGGAAAAATGTGTTAAATTCTTTTCATTTTGTTTTACGTCCTATGGCACAGGCAACTTTCTATACACGGCTTTTTAAACACATTGCAAATATAACTGCTGAGTAAAGGATTTAGTGCATTCAACACATGGTGAGAAATAGCCCCCTCTGAGAACACTTAGGCTCGCACAGCCATGCATCCAGCCAGGGGAGAGAGTAGCAAGTTGAACACTGTGCCAGAATGATTATAAAGATTACAAGCATATGAACAATTTAGCTATTGTTTAATTTCATACAAGTTTTGTTGTTAAGCTTAAAATGTCTGGGCTCACAAATATACCTGCTCTTTTAATATAATTTATATCGGTTCTGTGTTCACTTATTTTCCTTCTTCAGAGTGAGCTTGCATTTGATAAGCACCATCTTTGGCATTTTCAGTTATTTTGCTGATCTATACACTATTGTGTACTGTCTTTTGTAGCTGATGAAGGCCCAAAGTACATTTATCAGTGTTTATACCTAACTCTGCAGACTTCTGCACATTTTTTTTCTTGTAAATACACTATATCTATGCTGTGGAATTTTTGCATCACATGTGAGACCCTTAACAACCAAAGGAAATGGCTTGCATTTTTCTTTTCATTCTTAAAAGAAAAGATTTCTACTTGGTCTATTTTTTTTAAATCCTTTTTTTCCTGCTAGTAAGTTTAATAGTCTCTTTTAATTCACTGTTTCTTTAGTGGCAAGGGAAAAAGACAAATTTATTTCTTTGCTTATATCTGTCTGCTCATTCTTTGAGTTCCTGTCTGTTTGTGGTGCCTATCCAGTGTCTAACTGCCCTCCTAAAAGGTCTGCTGTAGTTATATAAAAACAGTTGTTTCAATAAACTTTTATGTTAAATGTTTTAGTTGCAAATGTTTAGAAGCATGTTCTTTATGGAGATTTGTTAGTCTTAAGAGATTTGACTTAACAAGCTGCATCCTGTCACTGAAGCTGGGTAATTTCCATTGTTGGCCCATGCTGGGAATGGAGAGACAAAACGCACCTGCTCTGCATGACTTAAAGCAAACGTAAGGAAGTTAGTATGAAATCTGTGTGAGAGAGATATGATTCATTCTGTAAGAATGGCCAGCTGGCAAGATTTCTTCCTGAGTTTGAGAACTGGGGCAAAGCGGTAGCTTTGGTAGTTACTGGCAACTTAATTTGAAAGCAAAGTGTAGTAACCCCTTACTAGTAATTAAAGGCTGTTTTTACAATGACTTGAAAAGGCTTAACAGTACTGTGGCTTTACAGAACTTAAACCCCTTTTCATGAGCATTTCCCAGCATATTCTTGGTCAGCAGTGGACTTCACACTAGAAAAAACCCTGCACCAAGATTTTGCTCTCGCACAGTTTTCATCGCTTGACGTTGCATAGGCTACATGCTTTCCTACTATTTGTCGGCCTGATGAGCAGAATTTTAAAAATATAAAATGTGATTATGTCCTTTTTATCAGAAAAAAATCAGTGTATGAAAATCATTTTTCTAAGCAAAAGGAAAATATAGAATGTTGGTCTTAAAGTTAATGTTGGCATCGGGAATGCGCTGAAAGGAGAAACAAATTGCTGCAACGTCATTGTCATTTTAGCACTTCAGCTTGCATTTAGGGCTGTGATCTGCAGAGCTGCTATCTCAGATTCCTAAACTGTGTGTACTAAGCCCAGAAATAGTCGTCGTCTTCACTTTAAAACCCTCACACACAGAACAGCCACATCCCATCTCTTATTCAACCTCCTTTATTTGGAGGTGATTTTAATAATTTGTAGCTATATTGGGCATTCCTTTTCCATTAAGTGGAAACATCCAAAGAAGCACATACTGTTGTTGGACACCCTGTTTGAAACTCCTTTGTCAAAGAAAATGTCCTTCATGCAAAGCGGGAAATCCCAAAGCAAAAATTAAAAAAATTACCTTTAAAACATCCATGTATTTTTAGAGCTTGGCAGGCAGGCGCAAACAGAAGATTGGATGCTTCAGGATACACATTTTCTCTCAAACTGTTGCAGAGTTTGCTAGCTGAATAAGGAATTGTTTGTTATGGAAGAACAATTGTTGCCATTATCAGAATATTGGAAAAACAAGTTTTGAGGGATCCTGATGTTACCTGACTAATGACCGTTTGGTATCTCATGAAATCTTAAAACATTCTTATTTGTTAGTATTTAAAGGTTTGTTCAATATTGATGCATAAACCTTTATTCCATGGCATTTTGCTGAACTTCATTCCCTTTTTTGTAGCCCAAAATACTATATTCTGGTTCCTGTGTATAATGTAATTTCATAGCCTTGTAAATTCCCCTGATTCCATATTTTTAAATTGTTGCATAATTGTGTTCCAAAGTCTAAGCTTTCATTTGTGTTTTTTTTCTTTTTAGAAAAGCCTCCTAGCCCTTCTGATTGTGGGGAAAAAATCTTCAGAATCTAAACTGAAGCAGTACTGTCTGCTTGAGTTTGCAAAGAGTATGAATCAAATGCTCTGAGATGTGAAATTTGCTTATGCATCTCATTAGGGTGTTAACACTGAAATCTAGTGACTACCTGTACCTTGACTATTTCATTGCTGATCACTTTAATAGAACCATCAACTGTAATGTGCGAAGATCCACTGCCACTGTTGGATGTAGTGGCTGACACTGGGGAAGGTCACTGTGAACCAATCCCGTGGCCTGTAGGGCAGAGAAATGAAGAATTCAAACATCCTCTTCCCAAATTTTAAAAGGTTTCAGAGTAGCAGCCGTGTTAGTCTGTATCCGCAAAAAGAAGAACAGGAGGACTTGTGGCACCTTAGAGACTAACAAATTTATTAGAGCATAAGCTTTCGTGGATCCGAAGAAGTGGGCTGTAGTCCACGAAAGCTTATGCTCTA